CAGTAGGAAAAACGGGCTAAATCGTGCCAGTGGGTAAAATCAGCCACCCCTACACAAAATTAACAGTTTGATCACAGATTAAAAGAGTTGGAAAACTCCAGCTTCAGAAAGTAAAATAACTGCCATGTATTTTTCCTACCTGTGTACTAAAACATGTTATTTCATTAATTAGCTCATCTACCTGGCTAATTAGAATTAGCTGTGCGTGGATGGGATAAATATGTGGCAGGACTTTTATTCTCTGATGCCAGGGTTTTCCACCTTTGCTGATTACGGAAGATCATGTCATTCCACCATTCCACCCAGACTGTGATGGAGATGAGCATTTGGAAAGCGTGATTAATAAACCAGATTCAAAGACATGACATTTGTCATGCAAAGTATATTCATCAGGATAAAAATATTATGAATCGTATCATAATAGAAATAAATTTGGGATATATTTCGTATTAGTTCCTCACTGTATAAACTACAAATTGAGGTCCTAATGCACAAAAGTGAGTTAGCATAAATGTGTTGCCTATGAGCTTAAGCATACATAACAAGTGTTGTCTGAAATAAATTCTCATTTACTTTGTAAGATCATGAAATGTAAAGTGGTTCTGTTTATCCTGTTCTCCTGTATATGTTTTTGCTTTGTTATAATTTGTTATTGTAACAAAATTTGATGGATTAAGTGAATTGGCTAATCTTTTCAGATCATGTTGCATTTCTGCTTAGAACTTTCTGCATTTTTAAGATAGGCTAGTTTTCTGCCACAGTTTTTGATAACTCAATTACGATGTCTTGAGCAAAATCGAACGTTAATCATTAATTACACTGGGGTAGCAACCTTGAAATAAAGCACCACCTTCCCAGTAAACCAAAAAGGGCAACATGTTTTGAATGTGTGGCTAATCCCATTTACCTCTATGTAGAATTTCTTACTGTGGGATTTTGACCACTTTTCCAATTTTAGGGAAGTGTGATCAGTGTGCTAATTTTCAGCATCTGTTTTTGCTGTCCATTTGCAATTTGCTTGGAAAATGTCTCAAGTAGGATGTTTTGGTTAGGATAATCTTTTTTATGGTGCCACATTTACAGCGGTTTTGATATTTTTGCTATAGGGTGGTTTACCGAGGTGTGCCTCTTACCTGACCTTGAAGGAGAACAGACTGTGTTTACGGTGCTGGCAGGAAGTTGGCTTGGTACGATAAAAACCAGCGTCTTCTCATCGCTGTCATGGAGCCATTCCTTGTTGGCCAGGTACCTATGGTTGAATGTATTGTGTGACATGTTTTCATACAGCTTGTGAAGTCTCTACCAGATGTATTCAACTCTAGCACAGCTCTTGAGATCTGCAGTGCCTGCATTTGCTCCAGCCACACACTATACCACAAGATGTCACTAATGAGCTGAACCAAGGAGGTAAAATGATTTGTGAAATCAAGTGGTGTAGAAAATACTACATAAATTATTCCACGCACTTAATTTGTTCATAAATGTATACATGTATAGAATTAAGTGAGACTATGTACTGTAGATGTTTCTTTATTAAGGTAAACGTGTGTATTGAGTGGGGGGCACCCTATCCCCACTACGTTAGCTTATCAGCATTCGTTCCACTGGTGAAAACTATACTAGTACTATAATGCTAACATAAGGATTAGCATACTGAGTTTTTATCCTGAATATGAATGTGGAGTCATTTGCACATTTCTCCAAGCAGAGTTAGTTCTTAAGAGTGAGATTGAAGAATGGGTTGAATTTTAATATTTAGAATTGTATTTGTGTTAACAGTTTCAGATAATGTATGTATGTATATTCATAGCTTTCTGAAACATAACTTTTTTTTGAATTTCTACACAAACATGGATTGGGTGGCCTGAAAATCCAATATTCTCCATTTAAATGGTAGTAGAACTATGAAGCTAAAACTAAATCATCATTTAAGAAAAATAATCACTTTTATAATGACTTCATTCCTGTAGTAGTCACCCATTCACTCATGCTTGCTGGTGTATTATCATTTCTGCTTATTTTGAATTTTTTTTCCTCAATTTTGTTATGCAGCATGTTATGAATTCCTTTAACTCAGTTGATTGGAGAGTTATTTGGATCACCTGGTGTTTAGTATTGTCATAACTAGCTCATAACTGATAATTGAGAGGAGTTGTGGTGCATTGCCCTCTTGATCAGATAGGGTGTGATGACGTCACCCCTTTCGGTTTAAAAGGGGCAGGGATTTACGTATGCAAATCAACCTAATCTTGCCTTTGCTTCGCACAGGTCATGGCTCATGAAATCTGCTATAGCCAGAGCCTTTGGCCTTTTTGGGCTCACTTCTGTGAATTTCTTTATTTGTTAGACCAGTGGCATGAGTAGCCCATTCTTTAAAGATTATTATTTTAGGGTTTGACATTCAAAATGCTCAAGTGCTGGATCAATGATGTTAGCTGAGCCATTCATTGCAAAAAAATGTAATTTTTTATTTTTTATTGCCTAAATATTGGCCTACCCCTGCAGGTTTTCTGAGTTTTTTTTTTTTTTTACCTCTTACCCATTTAATTCCTATTGTCAATTTTGGTTACATTCCCAAAGGACAGACGGGAAAACTATTTCCTTTTTGAGAAAGCTTCTAATCCTTGGCCAATTAATTCTCCCTGCTTATATTTAAGTGGCTGAGAACTGATCGTTATCTATCTTCCCAGATCGGTTTAAGTGTGGAATATCAGTACTGCCACATGACAAAAAAAAGTCCATAGCATAGTATTGGTTTCAACTTTACATTATAGGCATTTAGCCGATGCTGTTACCCCGAGCGACTTACAACACAAAGTGCACTTCTTATCCATGGGTGTTTAAAGTGCTAGAGGGGGTAAAAGTCTCAAGTATCGGGAGGGTCAGCATGGACTAAACTCCATGGATGACCTGCTCTAGCTGAATCTTCAGCAGCTCCTACACACCTGAAGCGATGCACTTTTCTTGGATTCTAAAAGTGCTGCAGTATGAAATATTGGTACTGACAAAGTTAAAGGAATAACAAGGCTTCTCATGTCTGTGTGAAATAATGAAAGTCTTTCAATCTATGCTATGCCTGGTGCAACAGAAAAAGATATTAATGTGTTTACCTCAAAAGATGCTTCCTGGCAAATGTCGGTATAAGTGGTTCATTCAAACTCAATAAAACCTTTATGACCAATCACCTTGAGGCGTTTACATTTAAATCTTTAGACGTTTGTTCCTCATAGATGCAGAACAGATTCACCTGACTATGACTGGATGCTAAAAGGGGTCTGTCTGTCTGGTTGATGTATTGTAATTATGTGGATTGATCTGTGAACGGGGAAATGTCTCAAACTAATTTGCTGTGTCCATATTCCCCCATGTGACTTGTCCATCTATCAAAACAAAGCGCAAACTTAAACATGTATATTGACAGTGAGTTTGCCAGAGCACATGCAAGGATTACTGCCTTTCTATCCTGCAGGCTTTAACTGCTTAATATGGTACCATTTGGTCTCACTTCCATTTAAAGATGCAGGAATGCCTTCCACATTTTTACAAAGGCAGTTTCACTTTTCAAAGGTCCTGAAATGATGCATGAAAATGGGTTCTGAAGCAGTTGTCCAGTTGCTCACTCTCTGACACTTTGCTTATGGATAGTAAAGTTTGGAGATCACAGAGCAGGAATTGCTTGTTGAGCACCGTCAGATCGATAGCATTTAGCACATTAATATGTCTAATTCTAAATCCAGTGTGGGCTGTACCCAAGCCCCTTCTGCCTCACCAGACACTCTGAACCGTGTAAATAAAAATAAAAATAAAATCTGTTGATCATCTAACTCACAGTTAGAAAGATAATATAAGAGTACCTAAGTAAGCCAATTTAACAGGTTAAAGCAAACACAGTTGGACATGCACCAGATTACCAAAGATCCCTAGCGATTATGTGATTAGAGATTCTGATTTATACTAGAACATAAGACCTTTATGATGAGAACAAGCCATTTGGCCCAACTAAGCCTGCCATTTATATTTGGAGCATCCAGTACTGCATCAAGGCTGTACTTGAGCACAGGTCTCTGCCTCAACTACATGAAAAGGAAATGTAATCTGATGCACATGGGTAGTGCAGTTTTGGAAACAGAAGCACAACAACATATTTCAGTGGTTCAATCGTCATTTATTGTCATTGAAAGACAAAGTGAATAGTGATCTTACAATCAGAAATGCTACAGTATTGCATCAGTGTTCTATCAAAGTGCAATGATGTCTTGCTGAGGTTTGCACTCAAATGCTTTTCATTTATCTCTGGAACAAACAATGTACAGCGATGCAGCACAGACGTAATCATGCCAGCCTCTGTCAACTGAAAAAACAAATAAATGAGAAAAATCAGCCATTTTATTGAAAGTGAAATGATCCAAGTAACAAAGTCAAATTATCCTGTTGCTGTGCATGTTAAAATCGGGACCCTTCATGCTAAGAAGGGGTTAATTAAGTAAAGAGCTTCTAAGCTTTTTTCCTGGAATTTCATTAAATTCTAAAAAAAAAAAAACTACAATTCCCATGATAGTTAATCACTTCATTTTTACATTTAAAATCTCTATGAGTACATTTGTATAATACCTACTCTTAACCATTAAATATATACTATTCGTTACTGTACCTCCGCCGTTCATATGTAAACAGCGTTCCTGTCCATAGGCATTATCAGGCTGTCCATGTTCCCAGCTGTAATAGTCAAATCTTGAGCCATCGCTCCAGAGCCACGTGTTGACCTGGGAAGTAGAAAGGACAGCAGAGCAAGTTTTTGTCCTCAGATATGCTATTATTTTTCTCTCAGACTGCAAGCCCCAGAAATTTTAGATATTCTGTCATTACATTATAGTTATGTAGCTGACATTTTTCCAAAATAACTTACAGTTGATTAGGCTAGCCAAGGGCCAATTCCCCTGGGAGCAACATGGGGCTAAGGGCCTTGCTTGAGGGCCCAACGGCACTGATGTTCCTGCTGTGGCCGGACTGGGACTTGAACCATCAACCTCATGGACCCCAGTCATGTATCTTACCCACTGGACTATAGGCTGTCATCAAAACCTTGATGGAATCGGCACAAGTCTCTAGTAATCATGGGGGACTCAGAGAAACGTTTTACCTCTACAGCATTAGAGGCTCCTAACCAGACATGGGGATAACTGCCAGTAGTCCTGTATATGAGACGTTGCAGGTAGTAGTGTTCCTGTTCGCTGTGCAGTGATGCAAGATTTCCTCCAATGGACAAACAGTATTTCTAGAGGGAGGGAGGGAGAGAGAGAGAGCTATATATTTCCATATAGAGCCTTGGATTACTCTGTTTTGACAGCCCACTATGAAACAATGGTACAAAAAATTATTATTATTATTATTTGAATACCTGATATCATTTCTTTTTTTAAAAAAGCACTTTATAACCACACATAAACTTTATTTTGTAACCACTGCAGTCAATGCAGACACTGCTGCATTGTACTTGAGTGAAATGGATGTCACTTCACTTCGGAATAAACATGGCCGGAATTACTGGAGGTAATACGCTCTATCCTGGTTGTTTTGCTATGAGCTTGGACCATTCAAACAGAGCCTTTTAATTGCAGAGTGAAAACTAGTACTTGTTTATTTAGTGATGAGGAAAATATGACTTTAGAATGCAGTTTACGATTTACCACGATAATTTGGTAAGAAAACGGATCTAGAAGTACACGATTCTCTAGAAAAGGCCGCAGTCTTACTTATTTAGATTTAATTACACCTCAAAAATGCCCTGCTGTACCTCGCCCTCAATCCACGGCATGAGACGCTCTAAGAACTTGAAGCAACGTGATCCATATTCTTCCCAGTCCATCGGACAATACTGGCTCCCCTTCGGAGATCCTGTGGACAGGAGAAAGTACCAAGTCTCAAGTATCAAAGTATCAAGTATAAAGTGTAAAGCTTTTTGTAGAACATGTAATAAAATTTATCTTCTTAAGTGGCTGAGTAACCAGTGTATATACTACTTGTCAGGCACAGTATTTAGACTGTTTGATCGCGGAAGCTTTCATCAGTACATTTAAACTGAACCATTTCAGCGCATCTGCACTAATATATTCAGAAAGTGGATATTATTTTTTTCCTAGTTGTAATGCCAGCACAGTTAATTACCTACGAAGTAATCTATCCAGACTCACACATACAATACCGATATTAAGATGCTTATGTAAAAATTTCCTTGGACACTAAGACCAAATGTAACTCAAACCGATAGATTCACTTTGTATTGAAGTCTTGATCGCGGACAGATTGTCGTTTCTGTGGTTAACCTTATCATTGATATTGACAGTACTTGTTTACTTTTGAATAGATTCTGTCTTTCCACATTCTCAGTCCTCATTAACACACGTCTACACTGCTCAGAGGAAACGTGTTCAGAAGGGCAGACTTACCAGGGTCCACGGACTCGTCAGGTACGGTCCTGGGTTCATTTATCCCTGCAAAATAAATACATACATATCATAAAAAATCCCTGTGTAAAATATATAAAAAGGTTATTACCTTAAGGTCATTTTATTGAAATGATATGAATTAATCTCAAAAGCAAACTGTCTCACCTGCTGCTCCGCTGAGAGCGACGCCAGTCAAGAGCAAAAGAGAAGTTGCCAAAATCATCTTAGCAATACTTCCCAGGAGAAAGGAGAAAGCAATGAATACCTGTACCCAATAACAAAAACAAATCTTTACAAAATCATAAACATTTCAGGAACAAATTCATTTGTATTATTTTAATATTAATAATTATGTTCCTGGAAATGATAAAGTGATGTATTACAATCGCTTGCCTTAAATCATAAATCATTCAACCCAACCTTTGATTTAGGATAGAGAGCAGGTTTCTCGGAGAGAAGAAACCAGCCATCTGCTTTTATACTCTGAATGCCAACATTAATGATAACCCAAATGTTTCCATGTAATCGTTTTGTTAATCATTAAATAATAAGGATTAAGTAACTCATGTAACGTTGTATCCAATATCAACAAAGTTTGGGTCAAAAACATAGTTTTGCTTACACACGTTATAACCTGCATCGTGTGAAATAAACAACTGTTGAAATAAACTGTTGGTTTCTGTCTACAAATAAAGAGACAGGCTGCCATATATTCATTGATAATTTTTACATGCAGACTGTAGTATTATCTTATGTAATCATCTTCACCTTTTCATGCAATGCATCTACTTTTTGCATTTACAAAATATTAATATGTCCCGAACATTATGGTGCCCTAAAATGGAGGGTCTGTGCTTAAAAAGAGCAGTATTTTTTTACATGGCCAAAAAGTGTATAAACATACGCTTTAATAAAAGCTAAAAATCTGTATTTTACTCATGTGGGAATGATTTGATTGGAAATCAAAAACATTGGAGTACAGAGAAAAATCTATGTGAAATGTGTCTTTGTCTTGGGGTATAAAACAGGCTAACCCAAATTAACCCTGGGTATAGTACGGGGAGGGGTATACCCTGAGCTGTTACACCGGCTTCACCATTTCCACCAGAGGTCTCCCTTGGTGAGGCAACAATTGGCCAGCCTCACCTGGGATTCAATACGGGGTAAGCCAGCCGTCATTGGTCTCATCGCCATAGCACCCTTCCTGTCATGCTGGGCGGCTGTGGCAGCACGAATGGGAATATTGCAAGATTGTCGTCATGTGAATCAGAGGAGCCACGTGCTCAACCTCTCCTCCCGAAACCATCAGAGAAGGTGCTGCGGTGAGGTCAGCTAGCTCGGTTGAACAAGTTCAGGTTGGGAAAAACAGGAAAAAAAAATCAGTAAAAATAATTAAGCTGGAACGTGTGTCTGCCTTCAACACACCTACGCTGATTTTTTTTCCCCACTCTTTGTTTAAAGTTCCACAGCTTTCTGTGCCAGACTATCAGGGCAGCTGGATACCCAAGTCAGTTCTCCCACATGTTTTGGGCATACACTCAATAATATCAGTATCACAGTTGTTCCATGTAACAACAATTGTTATTAAACTGACATCTTCTCTCCAGTATTAGGCTCATTGATAGACAGTTTTGTGATCATGCTGTTGTAGCAAAAGAACCCAGAAGAAGGAGGACAAACAGACATGTTTGTGAAGCAAAGTGTATTATTTTATTTTATTTTTTTGCTTTTTGCAATTCAGTCAATCATTCTTACCAAGTATATTCTCAAGAGAAAAAAAAAGAGGAAACACTCAGAAAAAAATCATTCTGTAAGATTTAAACATGTCAGCAAAAATGTGATTTAACCCTTACTCTCCACTTAGGGAGTGAGCGGGGCTATGGATCTGTAAGAAGTCAGTCATTATAAAAACCTGGAGAGAATGAATTTTTCCCTATATCATTTTCCAGCTGCTCGCCATATTGTGAAAGTTTAAAGATATGATCATAAGCATTACATAACACTTGTCATAACCCGTCATGACAAAACTGTCATAATGCATGCATCAATAAACACATTTGCATAACAGGTTATGTGATATGATAAACTTGGGGCATAAATGCTGTTATGTCAATGTGCCATAATGGTTATCAACGTATGAATTACAGTGTTATTTAATTCGCTGAAAGGCACTGTCATAAAAGGTGTTATGTCAAACTGTTCCTCAGTTTTCTTAGCTATTGTCACAGCCTCTTGGTTTGGTAAGATGAACGACTTTACGCAGTGCGAAAAATAATAAGCTGACAGCAGAGTATGGGCTTGGAACAACTTCGTTCTAAGCAGAGGATTAGATTAATTTTCAAAATACAGAGAATATGGCTTTGTCTGCGAAAATATTTTTGCTTTATTTGTTTTATTGTTCGTGTCCTTGTTCTGAAGGAGCTGCAGAAGGTTTCAGAAGGAGACATGGGAGGGAACACAGTAGATCAGAAATCCAAATCCATCCTCAGAGACTCTTTTCATGCCAATGTATGGATGCTTACGAGAAGAGAGCACCCTGCAGAACTACAAAAGACGATACATGATTTTGTCGGTTCAGAAGTGTTCAAATACGAATAAACATTTCAATAACTATTTTAATAACAGTTTGACTAGGAAGTGAAATGTTTGCACGTATGAGTGAGACAGCTAATCGACACGAAAGTCCCAGCCAACTGTACTACGTGGACAAGAGCAAGAAGCAGCAAACTATTTTGAGCAGTCGATGTCTGAGTGTAATTAAGATTAAGATTTCCGTGCTATGCAGCATGTGCATGTTTTAAATTCCTTTATCGCGGTTGATCAGAAGGTTATTTGGCACTTTCTATCACTTGGAGATGCAGAGAAACTGATTCATACTTCTGTCACGTCTAGACAAGACTATTGCAATGCCCTACTATCTGGTTCTGTGCTAATTCCTTGTAAAAATAAAAATACAAAATCGCCAGCTTGTTCAGAACGCTGCTGCTTGTATCTTGACGATATAAATAAAAGTTGATTGATTGATCGATGTGGACTGAAATATTATGGTTCACTGACATCTGGTGGTAGTGATGTGCAACTGCAGGTAATTTAGGTCAATATTCTGCAGGGTCCAGTGCTGTCTATTTTTTTCCGTGGTGCATGCAGTTCATTTAAATCAACAAAACGGTAGTATCACTCTTGCATCAAATAGTGAATTCCACTGTATGCAGAATGTTGCATGCATGTCTGCACCGTGTTATATTTTCACAGCTCACTGTCAGTAAATACTGTTTTCTATCCATTGTCCCACCACCAAATAATAAAATATGCGAGGTAATATAGGAAGACCTAAACAAAATCTAAAAGTGGGCAGATGAATTGAACAGTATAGCTAAATGTAGCCTTAAATGTGGGAAATAAGAACCTAAAACTAACTAGTTTAAACTAAAATTAATTTCTTGCATGAAAGCCATGAGGAGAGACTCAAATAACTTAACCCATTTAAACAAACAGAAAGGAGGCTTAGGTGACTTAACAGAGGCATTTAACCTTATTTGGACCTTTTAAAATAAATTTTAACTACAATACATTCTAGGGGGAGTTCAGTCTGTTGAACAAGGTGACATAAATGGAAACTAGTTA